ATAAAGAATTGTAGTACCCACCATTTTATTCACTAGGGTGTCTGCTTTAAAAAAAAATATAATGTTTGGGGGTTTAAATTAATTTCCTAGAAAAAAAAAAAATACTTATTTTTTTCATGTGAACAAAAAGTGTCAGAAAAGGCTTGATCTTCAGGTGGTTAGAAGAGTGAGTGATGTGTGGCATAAACCTCTAATGCTGGGCATAAAATGCCCCCACCCCCCAAAATGACCCCTTTTTGGAAAGTAGACACCCCAAACTATTTGCTGAGAGGCATGTTGAATCAATAGAATAATTAATTTTTTTGCCACAAGTTTTTGGAAAATGACAAAAACATGTTTTATTTTTTTTTACACAAAGTTGTCATTTAAATGATTTACTGCTTACACATGCCATGGGTATATGTGGAATTACTCCCCAAAATACATTCTGCTACTTCTTCCGAGTATGGGGATACCACATGTGAGAGACGTTTTGGCAGTCTAGCCAAGTACAGGACCCCAAAATCCAATAAGCACCTTCAGATTTTAAAGGGCTTTATTTCCTCATTACACTTCCTGACTGCCTATTATAGTTTTGGAGGCCCTGAAATGCCAGGATAGCACCAAAACCCCCCCAAATGACCCCTTTTTGGAAAGTAGAACACCCAAGGAATTTGATAAGAAGCATGGTGAGTATTTTGCAGATCTCATCACAAGTTTTTGAAAAATTAAGAAAAAAAAAAAAATGTTTTTTCTTTTCTTTTTTTATATTTCAAAACCTTGTGAGAAAAAATGAGATCTGCAAAATACTCACCATGCCTCTTCTTAAATTTCTTGGGATATCTAAAAGGGGTAATTTGGGGGGGGGGGGTTTGGTGCTATCCTGGCATTTCAGGGCCTTCGAAACTGTGATAGGTAGTGAGGAAGTGAAATGAGGAAGTTACGCACCTTCAGGCTTTCAAAGTGGTATCCATATACTCGGTAGAAGTAGCAGAATGTATTTTGGGGTGTAATTCCACATATACCCATGGCTTGTGCGAGAAATAAATAATGTAAAAAAAAAAAATGTTTTTGTCATTTTCCAGAAACGTGTGGAAAAAAATGAAATCTTCCATGGACTCAATATGCCTCTCAGCAGATAGCTTAGGGTGTCTACTTTTCGAAAAAGGGTCATTTGGGGGTGTTTGTACTATCCTGGTATTATAGCACCTCAAGAAATGTGATAAGCAATCAGAAAGTAAAAGCTGTGTAAATTCCATTATCTATACCATAGTTTGTAGATGCTATAATTTTCACACAAAGCAATCAATATACACTTATTGTGATTTTTTTAAACCAAAAACATGTAGCAGAATACATTTTGGCCAAAATTTATGGTGAAATTTTAGTTTTGAGAAATGAGAAAATATTGTTTTTTTTTTTCAAAAAATGTTTTTTCTCCAAACCTTTTTTTGTTTATAGCACCAAAAATAAAAAGTGCACAGGTGATCAGATACCACCAAAAGAAAGCTCTATTTGTTTGAAAAAAAGACATAAATTTCATTTACGTACCATATTGCATGACCACGCAATTGTCTGTTAAACTAGTGCAGTGCTGTCTAGCAAAAAAAAATGGCGTAAATTGCAGTATCTATACCATAGTTTGTAGACGCTCTAAAGTTCACACAAAGCAATCAATATACACTTATTGGGATTTTTTTACCAAAAACATGTAGCAGAATACATTTTGGCCTAAATTTATAACTAACTTTGAGTTTACTATATATGCTTTATAGTCGTAAGTTAAAAATATCATTTATCTTCAACATTTTCGGTCTTTTTTAGTTTATAGCGCGAAAAATAAAAAGCGCACGGGTGATCAAATACCACCGAAAGAAAGCTCTATTTATGTGAATAAAAGGATGTAAATTTTGTTTGGGTACAGCATTGCATGACTGCACAATTATCAGTTGAATTAGTGCAGCCAATGAAGAGACAGAGAGCTGGAACAGCCGAGTCTGTTGTGCACATTGCTGGATCAGGATGGGGCTCAGGTAAGTATTGAGGGGGCTGGGGGGGATGCTGCATACAGAAGGTTTTTTATGTTTATGGGTAGAATGCATGAAGGTAAAAAGCCTTTAGCCTTTACAACCACTTTAAAGGATCTGCTATGGATGGCTTGGTGCCAGATAGCACAGCATAGCTTCAGAGATCTTGTGGCTTCCATGCCTCAACGTGTCAGGGCTGTTTTGGCAGCAAAATGGGGACCTACTCAATACTAGGTGGGTGGTGGTGGCTAAAAAGTTATGGCTGATTGGTGTATATATTCTGCATATATACAAAGGGGTTGATTTACTAAAAGCAAACAGACTGTGCACTTTGCAAAGTGCAGTTGCACTCTGCAAGATCAGTTGCTCCAGGAGCTTAGTAAATGAGCAGATGCACAGCTGACTTCCATCATCCAATCATGTGCAAGCAAAAATGCTGTTTCTTTATTTTCCTTGCACACGATTGGGTATTCTTTGCAAAGTGAAGCTGTACTTCATTTTCTAAGCTCTGGAGCAAATACTCTTGCAGAGTGCAACTGCATTTTGCAAAGTGCACGGTATATTTGCCTTTAGTAAATCGACCCAAAATGTTTGCATAGGAGCTGAATGTTGTTAGAGATGTCTGTTGCCACCGATGACTACTGCATGGAACAATGTTTGTTGCTCGTCCAATACACAGTTCCGTGAAATGCCGTTGCACAAGGTTCAGGTTTATCTTACATTCCGATATTATCTATGCGAATGTACTTTCACTTTTGGTACAGCTCACCTTTAACACCTTTGGCCGTTTTAATCTTGTCAGCTATTCAATATTATTTAGACTCCTGAAGCTCAAGCAGCGGCAGATATGGCAGAAGAAGAGGGGAATAGAATCCAGAATGTGACTGAGCCTTCTGATTCCAGCAGGTAAATATGTACTTACAGCAAGATGTTTAAAGCTGAAGTTTATTCTGCGTAGATTTTGCCTGGTTCGTATTTCTCCCCAACAAACATGCTAATTCTATTTTTACATAAAAACTTTGTTTTCCTTAGATATGTTATTGTAGATCTGGTGATGTAATCACTGGTTCATGGTGCATCCCTGTGTTATGCAGGCAGATCATGGTTGGTGGAAGAGACTGGCAGGGTGCTGTACATAGATAGCTTACCAAAAACACCACAGCACCCTGCCTCAGTACTCCTCTCAAAAACCCTCATCATTGATTCAAGCAGTGGGCTGAGAGGAGTTATGCAAATATATCAAAGTGCCTTCATAGGTGGGTTTCAGCTTGGAGGAGTTGGCACTTCTACGCAGACTGCATTTGGGCCAGGAATAGTAAGGCAGTGGAGGAAAGCACTAGATGATGCTGGATGTCCTCCAGTGAGGAAATGAGATGGGCTCTATCAGAATTGTTGCATCTTCTAGTGCACACTTTGAGACTGTGAGAAGCTCATAAATAATAGGCTATGAAAACTGAGAAAGCAATTTAAGTACACTAAAAACCCTGTTCAACCATGCAAGACTAAAAAAAAGACTGGCGTTAAAGCTGATCTCTAGGCAAACATCCTGTCAGAATCTAAATACATAGGAGAAATGTCTACCGAAGGATTTTCATTTCTAATCAGCCCTGAGATGGTCACAGTTCTAACAAAATGAACAGCCAGAACTTTCTCAGCTGTATAGAGAGAGGAATGCTGGTCCAGGCCAGTCCACCACTGCTACACCTCACACACACTCCGATAGGGTGCCCGCCCAGCTTGCAAAGCCTCATACAGATATAGGAAGGAAGATCCGGACCACTGCACTCCAGAAGTAAAATCCACCTTTATTGAAACAAATCCATATAGCACATATAAGAAGTGAGATCACAGAGGGGAAGGGCAATGCTTCGTATTGCTTCAGTATGCTGCGTTATATGGATTTCTTCCAGTAAAGGTGGGTGTTACTTATGGAGAGCAGCTGTCTGGCTCTTCCTGGCTTTTTCTCTGCTGCACTTAACAAATACATTGGTGTCTTCTCCTTCCCCCAGCATTTTAAAAAGATAATGAAGGGGCAGCAGCATACTGATAAGGTCATCCCTCTGCTCAGTCTGCCATGTTTGCTTGCTAGCTTGTTGCTTGTCGGCACATTTGCATGCAGTAGTGATTGGCTCCCGGTGATGTCCCTCCAGACATTTCCCACACTGGTAAACAAGCTGTCTTATCAGTGAGGATTCCACACACTTGCTTCATACAGAGTGATAAGGAAAAAGATTGTCATTTTGGTTACATGCATGATCAGGAATCGAATAACATGTTGACTCATTATTAATAAGACAGCTTGTTTACTAGTGTGGGAACTAACTGCCTACAGCATTTATAGATTTGCAATTTTTGACTAACATGCAAGTTAATATCTCGGACTGACTGCAAAATTACATGTGAAAAACGTACGTCACTGCAGTCTGGGCATGATGTGTACTTTAATATATAGGAGCAGTGAAAAAACAACTAACCATGGCATGTTGCTAAGGTTTTTACTTTCAAGCATAGAATGCATGCAGTTCCCGCTCTAATTCATCCCAAAGGTGTTCTATCGTGTTGAGGCCAGGACTCTGTGCAGGCCAGTCAAGTTCCTCCACCCAAAACTCGCTCATCCATGTCTTTATGGACCTTGCTTTATGCACTGGTGCGCAGTCATGTTGGAACAGGAAGGGGCCATCCCCAAACTGTTCCCACAAAGTTGGTAGCATGAAATTGTCCAAAATGGTATGCTAACGCCTTAAGACTTTAGTTCCCTGGAACTAAGGGGCCAAGCCCAGCCCCTGAAAAACAACTTTACACCATAATCCCCCCTCCACCAAACTTTACACTTGGCACAATGCAGTCAGGCAAATACTGTTCTCCTGGCAACCGCCAAACCCAGACAGGTCCGTTGGATTGCCAGACAGAGAAATGTGACTGCTCTAGAGTCCAATGGTGCCATGCTTTACACCACTGCATTGGATGCTTTGCATTGCACTTGGCGATGTAAGGCTTGGATGCAGCTGCTCGGCCATGGAAACCCATTCTATGACACTCTCTATGCACTGTTGTGCTAATCTGAAGGCCACACGAAGTTTGTAGGTGTTTAGCTATTGACTTTGCAGACATTTGGCAACTTCTGCACACTGCCTGCTTCAGCATGCGCTGACCCCGCTCTGTAATTTTATATGGCCTACCACTTCGTGGCTGAGTTGCTGTTGTTCTCAGTTGCTTCCACTTTGTTATAATACCACTAACAGTTGACCATGGAATATTTACTAGTAAGGAAATTTCATGGATGGACTTATTACACAGGTGGCAACCTATCACTCTACAATGCTTGAATTCACTGAGCCCCTGAGACCGACTAATTCTTTCACAAATGTTTGTAGAAGTAGTCTGCATGCCTAGGTGCTTGATTTTATATAGCCGTGTATGACATAAATGTACAGATTTGAGTAGATAAGATGTGACCTGTAGAAAATATGACAATGTAAATCTAGTTCATTCCGTGTCATTAAAGAAATATTCAGTTATAGGTATTCAGACA